TTTGATCACTTGTCAGCAGGGCAGCCCAATGATTACTTCATTATCTAAGGAAAGTAGTTCTTAACCTTTTGCGTGCCCAGTGATCGCTGTTATGTGCTGAATTATATCCCTCCCCAATTCTGTATATTGAAGCCCTACTTTTCAGCACCTCATAATGTGGCTATATTTGGAGATAGGGCCTATGAAAAGATGATTTAGTGAAAATGAGATTCTTAAGACAGACCCTAATCCAATATTATTGGTGTCATTATATTGTTAGAAAAGTCACTATGCATTTTTGCTTTGCTTTGTTTTCTTGTAGAGGCTCTTCACAGTTCAGAAATTATCTCATGTCTATTTCACTACAATTTTATCAAGAATGAGCATTTAATTATATTAAATATTTCTTTGGAATCCTTTAAAAAAAGAACATAAAAAAATACATCATGACTTTCCTCACAACCTAATATTATAATAAGAGGACATTTGGATCCAAAACAAAAAAGAAAAAGACACCTAGGATGTCTTTGCACAGAGGAAAGACCATGGGAGGACATGAGAAAAAGGTGGCCACCTGTGAGTCAAAGAGAGCGTGCAGGAGAAACCAACCCGCCACCACTTTGCTCCCCACAAAGGGTGCAAAGTCCTGCTCTAGCCCTCAGCCTGGCTGATATCTCTGATGAACACGATCATATTTAATCATTAGTGAATCATTGTAGAGCTCCTCTCAGTTGTAAATGAATTTTAAAGAAGGGCCCACAAGCCGCTTTCCATAGCTATGTGGTCTGAGACCACTGAATCATGGTTGTGCTTTTGGTATTTGATGGGTAACTGTGCTTAGAAATGTCTGAAGTGAGAATTTTTGTTCCTTGAATCCACAAATTGCCAGAGATGAGAGGTTGTTTCTTGAGTATTGAGGAGGTTTTTCTTTTCTAGGGACACTCACTACCTGAAAGTTTTCTGATTTAATCAAAATAATAAGGTTTCTGAAGGAAACCTTTTTACAGAAGATAAATGGGGTCCTTGATGATAATGCAGAGCACAACATGGCTTCTCACAAAGAACAACATGAAGGTATCAGGGTTGGGAGTGGGTAGGAGAAGAGAGGAAGCAAAAATCTCCCCAAAACAGAGCAAGGAGAAAGTTGAAAACTAGAAGATATCTAAGGAGGAATAACAGGAGTCCAGAGAACAGCTAGCACATCTGGTCTTCCTGGTAAGACAGTGGAGCCCTGAACCTACCCAATGCCAGTGATCACAGAAGTTAACTTGGCAGAATGGGAGCTGACCAACAAGCAAACGCTTCAGTGAGGAGTAATCTAATGAACTATTGTCTCTCCACACAATGGGGTGATTTCTAGCTTTAAAGGAATGAAGATTATCTCTCTGTACTTCTATGGAGTGATCTTCAGAATATATATTTTTAAAAAGTAAGGTGACAACCCTCAGAATGGGGGATAATTTTTGTTAATTGTGCCTCAGATAAGGGACTGATAACCAGAATACACAGGGAACTCAAGCAGCTTACTCGGAGGAAAATGATTAACCCAAATTAAAAGATGGGAAAATGAGCTGAATAAACAACTCTCTAAGGAAGACATACAAATAGCCAAAAAGCATATGAAAAAATGCCGAACATCCTTCATTGTAAGGGAGATGCAGATCAAAACCATAATGAGATACAACCTAACCCCAGTCAGAATGGCGAAGATTAAAAAAACAAATAAGTGCTGGAGGGGATGTGGTGAAAGGGAGAACACCCTACACTGTTGGTGGGAATGTAAACTGGTCCAGTCACTGTGGAGAATGATATGGAGGTTCCTCAAAGACCTTCAGATGAACTACCATATGATCCAGCAATTTCACTCCTGGGTAGCTACCCAAAGAATAGGAGAGCACTCAGTTGGAAAAGCGCTTGCACATCTATATTCATTGCAGCCATATTCACGATTACTAAGACATGGAACCAACCCAAATGTTTGTCCACAAACAGATGAATGGATTGAAAAATTTTGGCACATACTCCATGGAATGCTATTCAGCCATAAAAAACAAGGTCCTGGAATTTGATAGAAAGTGGACCAATATGGAAGACTTGTTGCTGAGTGAAGCAAGTCAGGCTATGAAAGAGAGACATTGCATGTCTCCACTTAACATATATCGACTGTCTGCACTCTATGGTAGAGACTGAAGGACTGGAAAACATAAAAGTATTAAAAGTTGTAATGGACACTAGAGACAAAGTAGAAAGAGAGTGTGG